ATTTTCTCTTGAAAACCACACAACAATAATGACTTTGATTAGAAATCTTTTTCTTTAAAAAAAAATAATTAAACAAAATCTTTTTAGCCAAAAAACACATACAAACAACAACACACCGACAACGTGTTGGGAAAAATAACTGCAAAAAGCTTTTTGATGTTTTTCCTAATGTTTTCTTTTTTGTTGCCGTTGGTTTTTCATAAGATTAGAAAGAACAAATACTCGCACACACACATAAATTTATTGTTCATTTTTTTTTTTGTTAAGAAAATTTGGAAAATTTATTTGTAAATTTTTGGTTGCCTTTTTCAGTACCTGTATTGGGAAATAAAGAAAGAAATATTTCCTTTGATGTTTCAGGCATTTAAATGTGCGTAAGTAAAATGTGTAAGTGTGTTTGATGTTTCTTCTTTTTTTTTCCACAACAAAAAGGAAAATTATGTCAGGTATTTAGAGTTAAATGGCTGGCATAATCTTTTCTAAACATTTTTTTTTAGTTTTATAAAATACATAGATAATTATTTGGAATTTCAGATATGCTACGGCTGCTGTAGATGCAGCCGCTTTAATTGTGCGTAACACTGTGTTTGAGGACATCATTGTGTTTAGAAACCAAAGTAAATTTAGTCTTTTGCTTGTGTCTATCGCTTTTAGACAAGGTCGAGTAATCAATAATCATTATTTTGCACTTAATTACCCACACCATTGAAGAATTTACTTTTACTTACAAAAACACACACAGACATTTCTCTGTCCCTGCCTTATTCTCTCTTCTGCTTGCTTCTACTTTATTTAACTCAAATACCTTTTAACATTTTTATATAAACGCATTTTCTTGTTACTTTTAAAAGTCATTAGATTATTTTTATAATTGAAAGAATATGAACATTTTTCCTAGAAATATATTTTTAGTCATTTAGTAGGTGTTGCGATATTTTTTTTTTTTGAAAAATTGTTAGGAAGTAAAATCAACTTAATGCCAAAAACATTTGCCAGAATTTTTAATTTATTTACTTGACTTATTTTATGCTCTAATTTGGGAGCAGGCTAAGGAGGAGGTAAATGTTAATAATTTGAAATTATTTAGGAAATGTTGGGTATAATTTTATTATTACATAAAATTTAAATTGATTTAAGATTTTATTTTCAAATTTTAGACTACAGATTCTACTATAGAATAAATTATAGAATAATCACCACTGTAGAAGAGTCTATATTATGGACTATAATATAGTCTATAGTCTTGACTATAGAACAGGCTACAGTCTTGACTATAGAATAGTCTATTGTCTTGACTATAGAATAGTCTATAGTCTTGACTATAGAATAGTCTATTGTCTTGACTATAGAATAGTATATAGTCTTGTCTATAGAATAGTCTATAGTCTTGACTATACAATAGTCTAAAGTCTTGGCTATAGAATAGTCTAAAGTCTTGGCTATAGAATAGTCTATAGTCCTGACTTTAGAACAGTCTACAGTCTTGACTATAGAACAGTCTATAGTCTTGAATATAGAACAGACTAAAGTCTTGACTATAGAATAACCTATAGTCTTGATTATAGAATATCCTATAGTCTAGACTATTCTATGTCTATAGTCTTGACTATAGGACAATCTATAGTCTTGAATATAGAACAAACTAAAGTCTTGACTATAGAATAGCCTATAGTCCTGACCATAGAATAGCCTATAGTCAAGACTATAGAGTAGTCTATAGTCTTGACTAAAGAATAATCTATAGTCTTGACTATAGTATAGCATATATAGTAATGACTATAGAATAGTCCATAGTTTTGACTATAGAATAGTCTGTAGTCTTGACTATAGAATAGTCTATAGTGTTGACTATAGACTTGACTATAGAACAGTCTGTAGTCTTGACTATATAAAAGTCTATAGTTTTTACTATAGAATAGTCTATAGTCTTGACTATAGAACAGACTATAGTCGTGACTATAGAACAGACTACAGTCTTGACTATAGAACAGACTAAAGTCTTGACAATAGAATAGCATATAATCTTGACTATAGAATAACCTATAGTCTTGACTGTAGAATAGTCTACAGTCTGGACTATAGAATAACATATAGTCTTGACTATGAACTGGTCTATATTCTTGACCATAAAATTGTCTATAGTCTTGACTATAGAATAGTCTATAGCCTTGACTATAAAATAGAATAGTCTATAGTCTTGACTATAGAATAGTCTATAGTCTTGACTTTAGAATAGTCTATAGCATTGACTATAAAATAGTCTATAGTCTTGACTATAGAACAGTCTATAATCTTGACTATAGAACAGTCTATAGTCTTGACTATAGAAGAGTCTATAAAATAGTCTATAGCCTTGACTATAAAATAGTCTATAGTCTTGACTATGACATAGTCTATAATCTTGATTATAGAATAGTCTATAGTCTTGACTATAGAAGAGTCTATAGCCTTGACTATAAAATAGTCTATAGTCTTGACAATAGAACAGTCTATAGTCTTGACTATAGAACAGTCAATAGTCTTGACTATAGAACAGTCTATAGTCTTGACTATAGAACAGTCTATAGTCTTGACTATAGAATAGTCTATAGTCTTGACTATAGAATAGTCTATAGTCTTGACTATAGAATAGTCTATAGTCTTGACTATAGAACAGTCTATAGTCTTGACTATAGAACAGTCTATAGTCTTGCCTATAGAACAGTTTATAGTCTTGACTATAGATCAGTCTACAGTCTTGACTATAGATCAGTCAATAGTTTTGTCTATAGAATACTATAGTCTTGACTATAGATCAGTCCATAGTCTTGACTATAGAACAGTCCATAGTCTTGACTATAGAACAGTCTATAATCTTGACTATATACTATTCTATAGTCAATCTCGACTATAGAATAGTCTCTGGTCTTGACTGTAGAATAGTAGAAACGTTTGATATATTAAAATATTTACGATTTTGAAAACCACTCCCAAACATAAAACATAATATTTATTAATTTTAAAACTTTATGTACTTTAAACAAATTAACTAAAATGAAATTTAAAACTTTTGCTCTCTTCCTCGAGTAAAATTATAAACCAACATAATTAATAAACCATTAAATTTAAATCTATTATCTAAATACCAACAACAACAAGACAAACACAGCAGCAACAGAGTAACATTAAAATTAACAGCAGCTGTGTAGCCACCAAGAACCACATAATAATCAATGTTTAAGCATTAATTTAAAAAGTGAAGAAAAGCAACAAACATAAGAAGGAAAGGCAAGAGGTAAGAACTAATTAAGTTTCCAAACTCATAAAAATATTTTCGAAAAGAAAAAGCAAAAGACTAAAAGTAATTAAAAATAATAAAAATAATTTAGTTTTATTTTGATTTTGTTTTGGAGGGAAAACTTAAAATAAAATTGTAGTCTAGACTGAGAAGAAAATCAAAAAAATTAGAACAAACATATTAAATTTAAACAATTTGTTTAAAAGTATACAAGCGATATGTTATGATTTCTATGTTTAGAATTAGTAGAAGGAGAGCTAGAGTTATAATTAACACTTTGGGGAATTTTCTAATATGACCATAAAAATTAATATTTGATGAGCTTTAGAAATTATGACGCATAAAAAGTGACACGATTTACAAGGTCTAATAATATAGAGTTATGTAAAGGGTTTTACAAAAATTGTGGGAAATCTTTTAATGGTAATAAGAAATTTTTATTCTGCAGTTTATTTAACACCATGTTTTGGTTGAACATTTTATTTTTTTTCAAACAACTTTTCAATGTCATTTATTTTTATTTTTACCATCAATATGTATTTCAACAATTCTACAGGAAATTTATATTAATAATAAATTATCACCTTTGTGGTTTCAATTTATCAATTACCTTTGAAAGTATTTTATTAAAAAATCAAACAAAGAGTAAAAAAACAAATTATTTGTATTTGATTATTTGAAAAATAAATATGAAAAAAAAGCTTCAGATGTTGCATTAAAAAAACACCTGAAGATAAAAATAGAGTAAAGTCCAGGCTACTAGACTATTGACAAGAAAAACAATGTCCCATAACTGACTCAAGGTCAGACTATATATTAGTCAATGGATTAGAATATAGTCTATACTATAGATTATTGACCCGGCAATAGACCAGACTGTAAAACAGACTATAGTTCAGATCATAAACTACACTATTGGCCTGAGAGCACACCTGCTTATAGTACAGACTATGGTATAGACTGTAGACCAGGTCAACCTATAATACAGTCTATAGACTATAGTCGAGACTATTGTCCAGACTATAGTCCAGACTATAGTAAAGACTGTAGTTCAGACTATAGTACAGTTCAGGCTATATGCCAGACTATAATCGAGGCTATAGTCCATACTATAGTCCAGACTATAGTTCAGACTATAGTACACACTACAATACAGACTATAATGCAGACTATTGTCCAGACTATAGTGCAGACTATTGTCCCGACTATAGTCCAGGATATAGCCCCGTCTATGGTATAGGATATAGTCTAGACTATGTCCAGGCTATAGTCTAGACTATAGTATAGACTATAGTCCAAACTATAGTACAGTCTATAGCCAGACTATAGTACAGACTATAGCCAGACTATAGTACAGACTATAGCCAGACTATAGTCCGGGCTATAGTACAGACTATGGTCCGTGCTATAGCACAGACTATAGTCCAGACTAAAGACTAGACAGTAGTCCAGACTGTGGACCAGATTATAGCCTGTGCTAAGTATAGTTCAGACTATAGACCAGACCATTGTTTAGTTCAAACTACTGTGTAGACTAGAAAACAGTACAGACTATAGACCATACTTCAATCAAGTCGACAGACTAAATATATAGTCCTTTGACAAATCGAGAATATTTTCAGATTTTGTAAATTTTTTTCCACAATTTATCGAGGAAACTTACTGAATTTTGTCCCTATTCCATTTATTTGCTTTCTTTTTTAATTTTTTAACCTCGACTTACCTTTTTCATTAAAATGCTGCGGCAATTGTATATCAATCGATTCGAAATAATCGCGAACCTCATTACAATGTTGATTCGCCGATTCTGTAAGAGTAGAATCGCGACGTTGCAAACGTCTATTATGACTGTGATGATGACTATGATGCTGTAGCTGTTGTTGTTGTTGTGAGTCTAAATCCAAATTTTTAGCCGATGTTGAGACAACAAATGTACCAACCAATATCACTGAGATAATGGTGAATTTCAATAAAGTATTATTAAGATAGGGGGATGATGATAAATTCTGTTTTAAGGCCATGATGAAGGGTTTAACAACACTTTCGTTTGTTGTTGTTGTAATAAATTATTATAAAACAAATTTGAAAGAGAAATTAAAGGGTTTCTTTCTTATGGATTGAAGTAGGAAATTTATTGAAAAATTACTTTTTATAAAAATTTTATAAATTTTTAGGATTTTTTTATATAAATAATAGTTATATATTGCTTTTTTAGATTTTTTATATTATTTAAGGTTTTTTGGAATTTTTTAAAAAATTTTATTTTTTTGAAATTGAACTTTTTTGTAATTTTTTTTTACATTTTTTATTAAAAAAGTTTGTTTTTTATTTTTACTTTTTATATAATTTTGGTCTCACTTTTTGTTTATTTATTAGATTGTAGATATTTTTTAAATTTAAAAAAAATTTTCCTTGTTTTTGAAATGAGTATTTTTTAGCACATTTTTTTTTCAATTTATTTTTTTCTTTAGATTTTAATTTGTTGCTTTTGTTATTTATTTTTTCGAAAATTTATTTTCGTTTATTTTTTTTTTTTGTAAAATTTGTTGTTTTCTTTTCTATTTATTAAAGATATGATTTGTTTTTTATTGCTGTTGTTATTGGCCTTAATTTGTGCGTAGTTTTAATGATTTAGCTCCTAAGATACTTTTGTATCTTATGGATTTTTTTCACGTATCTGTGGAAAAAACAAAACAAAAAAAGCTATTATTAGTTAGGTGTTTGTTATTTTAGAAATATTTATGTTTTTTTTTTTTTTAAAGAATTGTAGAAAATTTTTAAAAGTATCTTTAAGATACCTAGTGATTTGTGTATCTTTAAGATATTTTGGGAATATTTTTCATAATTTTAACAATTTTTTCTTTGTTTTAGTCTATTATTTTATAAATCTTTAAAAATATTTTATAGATTTGTTATAAAATTCGAAATTAATTTTATATCTTTAAGATATTTTTTTTTTCAAGAAAATTTTGTATCTATTAAATCATTTCTTTAAAAATAGTTGTTTTTCATCATTAACCATATATATTTTTTTTATAAAAATAATTTATAGCATTTTTCTACATTTAAATGTGTGTATTTTTTTCTATATAGCTTTAGATACTTTTGTATCTTTTAGCTAATTTAGAAAAATCAAGTTCATTTTTTCCACATGTAACAACATTTATATATTTTTTATAAAAAATTTATAAATTCTAAATAAATATCTATAGCTATTTTGAGTAGGCCTCTTATAATCGTTGTTGTTTTTTTTTATCATGCTAAAGATACTATTGTATCTTATGTTGTTTTTTAATATTAAAACTCTTTAGAAAAAACAACAACAAACTATTATTTAATAGTTTATTTAATTTATGTTCTATATATGTTAAAATATATTTTTTTAGATTTTTTTTATTAAAAAAATATATGAGGAATTTTGGCGTCATTTTCATTTAAAAAACTATTACAAAAAAATAATAAAAAATATACATTTTGTAGATACAATGTAGTAACTATTATGATTTATTAAATCTAAATCTTGATTTATTTTTTGGACTTTTCTATTTAAATAGCATTCAAAGATATTTATTGAATATTCGCGATTTATTCATGAGTTGTAAGTTAAAAGTATATCTAATCATACATTTATAGCTTTCTGAACATAAATCCGATTTTGACAATCTAAACAGCTGCTGAAAGGTCATCAGTAGTCCTTCTTCAAAATTCATATGAAAATTTATTGGTTCTTTTATTGGTATCACGAAGAAAATGCTAACAAATTTATTCATAATTTTCCGTTTTATCAAGTCAAAAGTGTCATGAATGAAGCTGCTTTGAACAATCATAACTTTTTAAATTGCAACTCGTTTCCATAGGTTTAAACAACATTTGAAAGGTCAAGAGGTCTTCAATGAATTCCACATTAAAGGTTATTATTTAATATTTTATTAGTGGAATTAGAAACAATTTTACACAATTTTCAGTTTTAATAACACAAAAAATTCAGATTTCAAGTTAATTTGAACAATCATAACTTTTTGAATGGCAACAGGATTTAATCAGTTTAAACTGCATTTGAAAGATAAAGGGGTATTCTTTGAATTTCATATGAAAGGTCATTGGTTACCCTTTTAGTACTAGAGAGGAAATCTGACAAATTTTTACTCAATTTTCAGTTTTCTTAAGACAAAAATTTGACAATTTTGAATACTCAGTTTAAGTACAGTTCGAAATTTCTAGAGACCTGCTTTGTATAGCATATGAAAGTTGATTAGTTCTCCATTCAAATGGTGAAGAGGTCTTATTTGAATTCCACATAAAAGGTCATTGGTTCCCCTGTTAGTATCAAGAAGAAAATCTAAAAATTTTTTAACACAATTTTCAGTTTAGAACATTCATAACTATTTGAAATGCAACTGTAATTCATCAGTTTCAACTGAATTTGAAAGTTCAAGGGGTCTTCTACGAATTCCATATGAAACCTTATTGATTTCTCTTTTGATTTTAAAATTTGAACTATTTTTTTATAAAAAGTTGTCAATTTTACAAATTATGTAACTTTAAACAATCAGAAGCTTTTCCAACAGTTATCCGATTTTATTACAGCATTTTTGCAACTTAAAGTCTTCTCAGTGGCCTCCGGTAGGTTAGTGGTTAGTATTCTAGTCTGGTAGACCTAAGGTGGTGGGTTTGATTCTCACCTAAGGCACTGGTTAAGGAGCGCACAACCTAGGCTCGATAGAGGCCTAGGTGTATTTCTTCGGATTTGATGTATATATGTTCATCCTCCTCTTAAACTAACTAAAGTTTTCCGAACCTTTGGAACTATTTAAGCTGAATTTAAAAAGTTTTCTTTAAAGGGTCATATGAAACCCTAATGACTTTTTTGAAGATTTTTGAAATTTTAAGTTCTTTTTATAAAAAAGTAAACAAATTTGATATATCAAGTAACTTTGGACATTTAGAACTTCTACAGCTGTTATCCGATTTTATCACTTTAAACAGCATTTGAGAGGTCATGAGGTCATCTACTTTATATATTTCTTCTATATTATTGCAACTTAAAGTGTTTCCAACTTTTCAAACTATTTAAGCTGAATTTATAAAGTAAAAGGTTGATATGAAGCCCTATTGATTTCTTTTAAGATATAAAAAAGTTAAAAATTTCACAAATCAAATAACTTTGAACATTTAGAACTAGTTCATCTGTTAACCGATTTTATTACTTTAAACAGCATTTGAGAGGTCATGAGATCAACTTAAAGTCTTTCCAACTTTTCGAACGATTAAAGCAGAATTTATAAAGTTAAAGGTCATATATAGCCTTATTGACTTCTCTTTACAATTTTGATATTGTATTATTACGCATTTTGGAATATATATAACTTTTTGTAATTGAAAGTTAAAGAGGTTTTCTTTAGTTCCTTGAACATTTTAATTAAGTTTCAGAATATTTATTCTATTAATAGTTTTATTGAAAATGAAAAATTTCAGAATAAATATATTCAAACACGTTTGATCAGGTATAACTTTCTAAGTTGAGAAGCGATTTCCTCCATTTTAGCAACATTTGAAAGATCAAGAAGTCTACTTTGTAATCCAAATGAAAAATTCTTAAAATATATTCACTCGTCAAGTCTTTGTCATAACTTTTTATGTTTAAATGCGATTTATTCCAATTAAGCAGCATTTAATACATCAAGAAGTCTATTATTCTTATTTAAAAAAGGTCCATACGAATTCATTACATGTTTAAGTTTTGTTTAAAATACATTTTGTTCACGATTGTAATTTTAAGCTTTCATAACTTGGAAAATATGGTTTTAAGAAATCAAACTTTTTTGAACGCCTTTAACTTTTGAAACTGCAACACGATTTTAATAATTTTATCAGTATTTGATAGATCATGATGTCTACTTTCTAAAACACTTTTATTATATTTTAAAAGCTTAATGACTCCATTTCTTAACAGTTTTAAGTTTCGTTAAAATGAAAAAATTCTTCAAAGTTTTCATAACTTTGAAAACTGTAGTCAGATTTTATTGTTTATAACTGCATATTAAAGGTTATTAGGGTCTTCTATTAAAGTCTTTAAAAATTAATAAATTTATTTAGAAATTTAATTTTGTTTAAAGTCATAAATCAAGCAAAATTTTAAACACTTGCATTATTTTAAAATATTTTTTTTATCAATTTAAACAGCATTTGAAAGTTTAAGAGGTCTTCCTTTTTAAACCATTTAGTCAATAAATATTTATGTTTTTATTAAGAAAAGAAAAAGCTTTTAAAAGACACATAATTTTTTTAAAGGTCTTGATCCATAATCCGATTTTTCAAGGAATTTTTTTTAACACACTTTTATACAATTTATTTGAAAATTTTTTGAATTTGAAAATTTTTAACACTTTTCACAAATTTTTTAAAAATTTTTTTTCAAAAATTTACGTTTCTTTAATAGTATTTTTAATTTTATCTAAATTTTTTTAAAATTTTTAGATTTTAGTTTTTGATTTAAATTAGATTTTTATGTTTAATTATAAACTTTCTTAATAATTTTAGCATTAATTTATAGTTTTTTTCGAGATTTGTTAATTTTGTTGACTTTTTTGCACTTTTCTTGTAAAAGTATCTAGATACTTTTACTTTAAACTTTGTTTTGGTTTTAAATTCAATTACATTTTCTTATAGAAGTTTCTTTTAAAAGATTTCTTCCATATTTGTTTTAAAGCTTTTAGATTAACACTTTTAGATACTTTTATTTTTATAATTTCACTGAGAAATGTATCTTATAAATACTATGCTTAACAGCTGATTTCACATGTACGTTTTTTGTTTTTGGCTAAATTTCAAAGTATTTGCTTTTTTTTCTTTTTGATTAAATGTTTTGCTTTATTTTATTTTGCCGGTTTTTCTTTATTTTGTGTTATTTTTATGTGTATTTTTACAACAGTACGACGACAACTTTTTTTTTTGATTGTATAATATATACACACCAACTTACAGATAGATTTGAAAAAAACACACACACACAGATACACAAACACTGCTACAAATAGACTACACTCACGTTTACAATGCCAATGTACAAAAAAAAAACAAGCCATGAGCAAAAATAATAATAAAAAAAAAATCTTATAAATTCAATGAGACGCTAAAATATACACTGACAAACCAATGTTGTATTAGTATAAACGACAGACAAAGTGCCGGACTGAGATACTAAACACACATAGATACGAAAATGTATATTTACAGAAAACAACGAATAACGAAAAAAGTGCGAGATACACGCGCAAATCTCACTCACTCACTCACCGTCTGTCACTCTTAACTGAACTGAGACATACAACTTCGTTCGACATTAAACATTTGCAAATGTATGGACGACAACAGCAACAACAACACTGAAGTAGTTTCAAAAAGTTACAACAACATCAACATGAAAAGTAATAGATACAATTGACTGTGGAGCCAACCGGGGATTGTTTGTTTTTAATGTTGCCACAACTTTACCACCCTAATGCTGCCACAACATTACAAAGAGTTTGGTTGTTGGTTGCGTTTGATGGTTGGCTTTGTGTGTTGGAAAGAGAAACAAACAGAAGTTTTGTATAACAAAGGTTTGAAGTCAGCCAGACACTACGGCAGTTGGATTTTATTTCTTTTTTTTTTTTTTTGTTAAAACAACATTTAATTGTTGTTAACACGGACCCACGGTGCCACTAATGTATCTTATTCAGTGCTCAATTTTAGACAAAATGACAGACTGACGACTCTACGCAGGTTGTAGGTAGGAAAGTGCCAATGGCGTGAACAAGAAAACTTGATAAAACACTGCAGTCAAAGCAGCAGAACTGCTTAACAGTCACTTCAAGCCAAAAAAATAAAACATGAAATTAAACGCGTCAGTTGCCAATAATGTTGGTTTAAAAATTGTTTTTAAATATTTTTTTCCCGACAAAAACTTGCTCTTTAAAAATACATCTTAAAGATACTTTTTCTATACATTTCAATTAAAAATCCATCTTTAAAAAAAAAAATATTTCTCTTACACTTTAATTGCAATGACATAATCTTTATTATAAATCTCATTAATTTTTTTTACACTTTTTTTTGTTTGACTCGTAAAAATCAGGTTTATTTCTTATAATTTACAACAGTTAACACTTTTTAATTCTCAAAACAACAAAAAAGAATCTTCTTCCTGTTTTCTTTATATTCAAAATTTTATATATAATTTTTTCTATCTCGATTTTTTCACGTTTTTAGTACGAACTACCCCACACGTCTTAACGCTTTGAATGCTCGTTCACAACTGACTATGCTTTAAGAATTTAATGTGCTTCCAACATGCTAGTTAAGCTTCAAACCTTCCTACAAGTTTCGTTACAACTGTGTGGATTCTAATTCATTCATTCATTTTCCAAATGTTGCTATCCAACTTTCGCACAACTTATCAACATGTTGCCTTCATACTTGTCTGCTGTCAGACATAAAAGTATCTTTAAGTTTGTTGTTGCAGCCAATTTACCTGTTTTAATATTCTCCCTACCTGCTAAAAATAAAATATTCTTGTTATTGTCGTCGTCGTTGTTGTTGCTGCTGCTGTGTTTTTATTAGTTGTAGTATTTAACGCCATTTTTCGCCTCAATTAGCACATTTGAATTTAAAGTTTGGCGTCTCATGTGTCGTTGTCTTCTTTTCTTTTCTGCCTTTTTTTAAATTTTTGTTTCTTAATTTGTTTATGGTTTGTGGAGGTTTTTCTCTGTTGTCTTTCTTACTTTATGGGTTAATCCAGTTTTCAGGCTTTATGTAGGATAACACTTCGCTTTAGCATAATCAATTTATTGTTAAAACATAAGCCCTCGTAAGACTAAACACGAAATTGTTTGAACTAAGTAAATATTCATAAATACACAGTGCGTCAAGAAAAAATTCCCCATAAATAACATAGAACATTAGTTGCATGATATACAACTATTTTCTGTATTTTCTTTAGAAATTTTGGTTCTATACATGATATTTTATAAAAAATCCAACAACTTGGGTCTTGGTTGGTTAACGTGGTAGTTCACTGAACGCGAACTGTCAAGTAGAGTCGTAGAGACTACGTTTTGACCGGACCACTCCACTCGTCAGATGTAGTATTTATAGGATTAGATCCAGCCTGTAGCTGTGCGAAATCTGAGGATATCATTAGGCCAATATATCTCACCAAGGTTAGATATGAAGTAATTGCCATTGGGAGCGGTTTCTCTTTACACTGAGCACGAACTGTCAAGTAGAGTCGAAGAGACTACGTTTTGACCGGACCACTCCACTCGTCAGATGTAGTATATATAGGATTAGATCCAGCCTGTAGCTGTGCGAAATCTGAGGATATCATTAGGCCAAGATATCTCACCAAGGTTAGATATGAAGTAATTGCCAAGGGTTTCTCTTTACACTGAGCGCGAATTGTCAAGTAGAGTCGAAGAGACTACGTTTTGACCGGACCACTCCACTCGTCAGATGTAGTATTTATAGGATTAGATGTAGTATTTATAGGATTAGATCCAGCCTGTGCAGTCAAAGACGAGATGAAAGACCGTTTCTTTCTTTTCCTTGACTTTGCCACTGCGACAGTGATCGTTGAAAGGGAGCCCAGGCCTATTTGGTCTGCCTATTACCTAGAGTCCTGTTATTACTGCTATTAGCCTCGATATGTCCCGCCTACTTCGGTTTATAAGGGGTCTTGTGCATTTCACACAATAACTTGGCCCCTTTACATGTGTCTAGGTTATTCCACCTATTTTCAGCCTTTTGAAGAAAGAATCCGAGTTGCCATTTGAAGAAAGAATCCGAGTTGCTACTGAAACGGCGTTGGAAATGTCAAGAGCAGATCCTGTTCTGGCAAGCTCATCTGCCTGTTCATTACCGTAGTAGTCCCTATGCGCAGGGATCCAAACAAGGGTAATGTCAGACTGGAGACCCAGCCTTTGACAGATACTTCTTGCATTGTCTAACTAATGGGGAAGTGGTAGTATAAGAGTTTAGTGAGAGAAGTGCCGCTTGACTATCGACAAAGATTACTATGTTGTCGCGAATATTGAGGACTTGGGTCTTAGTCGGTATTCTCAAAATCGGGCCATTAAACCCTTTTTTGTGAATACTCTTGTCCTCGAAAGAACCGATCGCTGCGTTCTAACAAATATGAGTTTTGGGTCTGAGGCTGAGCACCAATTCATTGTCTGAATGGAGCCTGAAGCCCAATAAGTTTGCTTTAACAAACTTCTACCAAAGGTGGCGAAAGTCAAGGTCATCGAAAGAACCATGTTTTAAAGCCTTAGAGTATTAAAACATTTGAGACCTAAAAAGAGTTTTATACCAAACGATCTGTGTTCGTGGACCAATTTTCCTCTGTGTTTTATCAGACTACTTATGTCTAGAAAGTTTGCTTTAACCAACTTCTAGTAAAGGAAGTCAAAATTGGAGAGTCTTGTACCAAGAGATCTTGGTACAAGAATCCTTTACTTCTAGTAAAGGAAGTCAAAATTGGAGAGTCTTGTACCAAGAGATCTGACGCCTTTGACAAATTATTCTACTTCGTCTAAACAGTGTAAGAAGTTAATGTTATATTTTTGTAATCTATACATTCTGAGATGGGTCTACTCCTTATATACATAAATATATAGTAATCGATTTGTCTGTATGGCATAAATTTTCTGAAGTTAACTTCGGGATATTAATTTTCAATACTTCTATCAGACATTCGTTTGAAAATCATCAAAATGGGGTCAAAAATAAATAGGGTACTTCTCGCAGACACAGGGATGGAGTAAATTCAAGATTCATTCAATAATGCTCAGTTATATTACTCATTCAACTTTCAGCGTTAAGTGCAGCTTTGACGCCCAGACCCTCAAGTGAATAATAAGATTAGGACATCTGAATATAATTTATAAAAGTCAGCTTCTCAAATCCCTCAGGTTTAGATCAAGCCCTTAAAGTATGATGGAGTTCTACTAGATTGATCAATTAAGAATATACGTTCTGGAATTTGTAAATGGTAGAAGCATAATCCAGTTAACTGTCCACTCTGAAGATAAAATCAAGAACCTACCCAGTTGTAGATACAAAATGTTTATCGGAGTAATCTTATGTACAGGCACTTAAATCATTCTGGTTTTCCAGGAATAGACTAATTTCTCAATATCTAAATCGTAAGACCCAAAGATCTGTATTTTGTTAATGGTGCAATTTTATTAGGGTAGATTGTTGGTCCTGTATTTTTGTACCACTAAAGATAATGTCCAGAGCCTGTAGCATTCCAATCGATATTGTTAGTCTCACATCCAATCATAGACAAGAACTGCCGAAGTATCTAACGGAGCTTAGTATCTAAGAGCATTTATATAAAGATCGAGATTTTTAAGATTAGTCCAGTTAACTGCAAATCTGGCTCTTGTATATATATATATAAAGGTTTATAGGGCAGAATACAGCAATTCTCTTACCTCTAAAGTTTAAATCAAAGTCCTGAAGAAATCTTTTCAACATCGTCGAGTCTCAGATATGATAAGTTTAACGGTTCAACTATACATATTTATGTATAAGTGTTTAAGTCATTTGGGTTTTCCAGTATAATGGTGTTCACAATAAACCAATGAAGAATAGATTGTGGTTGCCTGCCAGGTTCTTGGTATTTTATATAAACAGTAAAAGTTTATGAATGTCAGAAGCTCTCCGGATAACAGCGGGAAAAGGTTTAATTTTTTTAGAACAAAGGCAAAATACCAACTTTTTCACAGATCTTTAAGTGGAAACCCCTTAACCAATTTAACCCATGTATGTCAATACAAAATACTCTATAAGAAAGGAAATGAGACCCCTCACAACTTCTCTTATACTTCCTTCGCCTAAGCTCGAATTAATGGTCTCGCTCTTCCAGATAATCCCCTACGATATCGTACATAAATTTTCTTGAGCAATCTACTTATAGCTTATGTAAAAATTATATTTTATCGAGGCGGCTGTCCATTATTTTGCTGTTGTTTGCGGTTTTATTTTATTTCTTACTTTCGTTCTCTTTTGTAGTTTTGCTAACAATTTCATTCCAATGTTTTAGCCTTAATTTGAATTGAGTTGAAGGACACTTTTTTGTTTTATATTCTTTCCCTTTTCTGTACGGTATTTGTTTCTGTTTTGGGGTTTTCTGATTTAAGCCGCTAACTGCCAATTGGTAGAAATGTCCGACCATCCGTATTTCTTTCCCAACTACCTAAATACCCTTTCTATGGCAAAAACTGTAAAATGAAACATAGTAATTTTCATACATCACTACCTAATTTTGTTGTCTATTCTAGGAGTCTAATTAATTTTATTTGACTTTTGGGATTTAACCCAACGTGTGCTAATTAAGTTGTCGCTGTTGATTTTAGTTATTGAACAAATTCCCTGAAATTATTTAGTGTTTTAAAACTAGTTTGGGAAAATTATCACTGCAAATATAGGAAGGTATGCATTGTTAAATGGTTTAAGTTTATTGCACTATGGCTTAAGTTGGCAAATCTTCTATTTGAAATATCCTATATTGTAAAAGTATTCAATGGTATGTGAAGCCATGACCAAGTAAGTCTATGAATATTATTACTAAATTATTAATATCTCCGAAGTACTTTTTAACTGTAAATTGTGTGTTTTAACCATTTAATTTTCGCTTTACAATAGTAAAAATTAATTATTTAAAATTTCTATATAATATTATATTCATTTAACTTAAATAAAAAAACAATATTTAGTAAAGAACTCGGCTTAAACGTTTGATGCTGTTGTTGTGTTTTATGCAGCAGCAAAAACAACAATAACAAACAAATATTTTGTGCAACACATACTCAAACACACATCCAAGCCCACAGCAATACAACAGGAACAGCTACAGCAAAGAGGGAACAATGAATTTGTACAGGTAGAAAAATATTTTAACCACACACATACACATAACCATTATGCAAGTATTTTTCATACACTTGAATGTTCACATAAATTCGCTTGTGCATATTAAGACGGCTACAGTTGTTTGAAGATCAATAGTATTATGGAATCTATTCCTGAACTAGAAGTGAACTAAAGCTGAACAAGAAACTGAACTAGAACTAACCTAGAACTGAAACTAGAAACTGAACTAGAACTGAACAAAAACTGACTAGATCTGAACTAGAACTGAACTAGAAACTGAACTAGAACTGAACTAGAACTGAAACTAGAACTGAACTAGAACCTGGAACTAGAACTGAACTAGAAACAGAACTAGAACTGAAACTAGAACTGA